TCTCTTTCTTTAATGGAGCTAAATTTCTCCCTTAGAAATAAAACCTTCATCCTGTTGCTTCAGACAACGGAACAGAAAGAAGATCATGGAACTGTCTCAGATCGGTTCTAATCATGCAAAGACTGTTTACAGTTAAATCTCTGCCACTGTGGTAGCACAACCCTTGGGAGGTTGAAAAGAAGCACAACTGAGGAAACAATGCAGAAATCTCTCATTTTTAAAAAATATACAATTTCATAATGCTTATCTTGTTCCAGTGGGGCAGTGAAGGGTTTATGGGGTGTTAGGGGAGGGGTAGTACCTCTGGTGGGAGACTCGTCATGCTCCTTCTGAGGTAGTTCATCTATCTTTGCTCCCCACTTTGCACTCAGCTCTCACCTGTCAGCCAGTGTGGTGTAGTGGTTAAGAGTGGTAGACTCGTAATCTGGGGAACCGGGTTCGCGACTCCGCTCCTCCACATGCAGCTGCTGGGTGACCTTGGGCCAGTCACACTTCTCTGAAGTCTCTCAGCCTCACTCACCTCACAGAGTGTTTGTTGTGGTGGAGGAAGGGAAAGGAGAATGTTAGCCACTTTGAGACTTCTTAAGGGGAGTGAAAGGCGGGGTATCAAATCCAAACTCCTCCTCCTCTTCTTCAGCATGTGACAGCAGCCACAGCCCAGGAAACAGCTTCGACTGGCCAGCTAAACCACGTGAAGCTAGTCAATAGGACTCAAACCCTCAGTGAGTTAGGGACATCCTCTGCATGTGAAGACAGGCTCTGGTGGATTGAGTGGGCAAGACCAATAGTGGGTCCAACAGTCAAGAAGGCAGTTTCTGCATGTGCTGTAGAGAGAAGTAAGGGGCAGTAAAATCAGCCCTAACTATTGGCAAGCTTCAGTTTGCTAGAAATTGAGCACCAAGGAGGTGCAACAGGTGTGAACAATGTAACCTTATCCCTCAATCAGATTACACAAATACTCAATGGGCTGAATACACCTTGAGTAATAGTGAATAGAGCTAATCATTTGTCAGCGTATATTGGAAGAAAGTTGGAGTGATTATTTAGAATCAAATCCCTGTGAAGCTTGCTGGCATTTTTACTCTCTGACATCCTGAACTACCTCACAGGGTTGCCAGGAGGATAACATGGAGAAGAATGAGATCTATTGCCTTCAGTTCCATGGCACCTTGAACTCCATGGACGACAGGTGAGATTTTGAAAAGTAAAATAACTCATCTGTATTGCTCTATCATATTGTGAGGAAAATCTTACTACATTCCTGTACATGATCAGAAGTCCAGGGTGTGGGATAACCAGTCTCTTATAACCAACATGGGGTTAATGCCATAGAGTAAGCTGTCCTGCCAGGCTTAGCTAGGTCACTCCCCTGCATCTTGGGAAGAAACTCATCAAGCCTTTGTTTTCCCAGTCTACCCAAGCAGCTCAGTATGTAAAGAGGTGTGAGCTGGTTGCCCCAAGCTCAGACCGCATGACTCTCACAAGCCTTTCTTGAGTTCCTATACCAATAATTTAGGAATTTTCACCACTGTAACTAGGCCAAGTTTTACTGCCTGTGCAACCTTTTCTGAATGCTGTATGGAAAAGCACACAAACCTGACCTTTGGAGAGTTTGCAAGTAAACCATTTTTAAATTACCAAACATGTGGTCTTTTTCTATGCTAATGCCATAGTCCCGTCTGAGTAAGCAGGGACTAAGAGTCTCTGAGGAACGCTTGCCCAAGAGCAGAATCCACATACCAAGTCCGACAGTCCAGAGGTCAGGGAATCCAGATAATCACGGAGTCAAAGGTTCAGCAGGAAGCAGCAAGTTAGGGCTAGGAACTACAGGCATTGTTTCCAGCATCTGACTGCTGCTGAGAGCTCTGTTTAAGAAGGCCAGAGCCATCTGGCTCTCATCAGTGTCTTCTCTGTGAAGGCTGATCAGCTGCTAGCGGTCACTCCGCCTTCTCTCCCTTCAGGCTGCTGTTCAGCAGGCAAAGCTGACTCCTGGCCCATGACAGTTAAAGGAAGAGGGAGGTTTGGGAACTCAGTAGGGCATATTTTAAAGATCTAACAGCCTGTATGTCCACAATTTACTTGCTGCATATTTTCTGATTTTAAATCTCTGATTGGGCTCTCTCTCACCAGAGAGTACTTGCCCCCAAAATGGATCTTGGCATCCAGGGAATTTCCCTTTTTAAAACCTATTTTTCCTTGCCACCAACACAGGAAAGCAGCGGACATAGCAAGACAATCCAGGCGACCAGCTAACCAAGTGATATGTATAGTTGTGCAGCATTTCTATGGTAAATTATAAAAATATACTTAGGAAAAGCTCACACACGTATTATACATATAACAGTTCCTTCCTTGTTGTCCTTCCTCCTGCTGGCAAAGACTTTATTGTTCCAAAAAATTTTGGGGAACTGACTGCTTTTAATGAAAGGGCTGGTGCCATGCTGCTTTTATTGTAATTGTTGGTATGGTTTTTAATAATATATATATATATATATATATATATATATATATATATATATGTATATGTATATAGATCTAATTCTATCAATGTTTGATTGATTTACATGATTTTTTTCTTTCTATGTTTTTAGTGGTTCTTATTTTTATTTGTAAGCCACCTTGAGACCCATCAGGGGAAAAGACAGGAAATAGATAGATAGATAAATAGATAGATAGATAGATGATAGATAGATAGAACAAACATAGTGCATGGTGAAGTTACCATTTGGCAAAGCAGTCATCCATATTCAATCTTCAAAATGGAGTCTATTTATTTACTAGCTGTATTAATTTTTTAATTACAAATCTAGACCTTTAAGGTCTGTTTGTTCATGTGGATCTGTAGGAAAGATATAAAAACCAATTAATAGGCAGTAACACGGAGCAACGTGGGTGGTGCTGTGGGTTAAACCACCGAGCCTAGGACTTGCTGATCAGAAGGTCAGCTGTTCGAATCCCCGCGACGGGGTGAGCTCCCATTTCTCAGTCCCAGCTCCTGCCCACCTAGCAGTTTGAAAGCACGTCAAGGTTCAAGTAGATAAATAGGTACCGCTCCGGCGGGAAGGTAAACGGCGTTTCTGTGTGCTGCTCTGGTTCGCCAGAAGCGGCTTAGTCATGCTGGCCACATGACCCGGAAACTGTATGCCAGCTCCCTCGGCCAATAAAGCGAGATGAGTGCCGCAACCCCAGAATCAGTAATGACTGGACCTAATGGTCAGGGGTCCCTTTACCTTTACCTTTTAACATGACTAAACAACAACAACAACTGAGATAGAGTCGATTTCCTGGTGATCCCATACAAGTAATGAGGATCTAAATATTCTCTCTCCTTGAGAGAATGTGAAAAATCTGCAGGTGGTTCATGTCAACATCTTGTTTTTGCCTGTTCTAGCAGAGTAACAGTGTCTCGGAAGCAGCTGCTGCCTGTCATGACACAGATATGCCTGAATTGGGTTGTTTTACTTACCGTGTTTGGGCATAAATTTAGTCTCTTCCCTAGGCTTGTGAGATACGAATAATTTTATAATGCAAGAATGCACTTATTGTTTAATGACCAGGGGTAGGGGAGCCAACTTGAATAAAATATTGGGCGGGGGGGAGGTAAGCCTCACCCCACATAATCAATCACATGACGTGGTTCACACACTCTGTTTGAATGGCAATTCCCATCAATGGGGGCAGGCAGACCCCTCAAATATTTTATTAGGAGTTGGCTCCTAATACCAGGAGTGTAACCAGATACATGATAGGATTGTGTTTGCATCTTGCATCTTGTCATACTCGTGTGAAACAAGTCTGAAATTAACCTGCATACAGGTAAACCTTCCAATAGGAGTGGGTGAGGACCTTTCTGTTGTGGGATAAGGTCCATCCCCTCCTTTGCACAAATCTGTAAAAGGGCACCTGTGTGTGTAGCTGTTCTCCCTCAACCCTCCAGATCATATTTGTTGGAGCATGTAGTGGCAGGAGAGGGAGGAAAAGTTGGGTTGTGCAAGAGGAAGTCCTTGGGTGAATGAGATAACCTTGTTGGATACAGCGCCAGGTGTGTATATGGTGGCAGCTCCTTATGGGTTGAGAGGTGATGGCACCCAGGTTATGAAACACCCTCCCATTCACCACAAGGTAGTTCTGAATGCTGATTTTGGACACTATAATGCTAGGTATGTGTACAGTCTACCAGTATTTTAATCCCTCTCAAAAATATGTGTGCGTGCAAGGTCTAATCCTGTTCCTCACAGAGGCTACACAAATCATTTCCCCATTTATGAAAGCAGCAGACTTGAAGCTAAAATTCCATATAATCTGCTTCCTTTGCACCTGTAATGCTGACTGTTGGATCAGGCCATAGGAGAAATACTGAGGTTTACTGTGCTTCTGGGAAAAACACATTTTTACCTTTGCTGATAAAAACTGGGATGGAGCACAGCCTCCACCTCACCAGAGGTGTTTTTTAGGCCACTAGCATTATTTTGCTCTATCAGAAGTGCAGCAGTTTTAAAAACGTAAAGAGTTGCTATCTAAATCTCTTTCTTGTCTTACAAAGCAAACGTTGTATTATAGGCTCTTGTTTTTTCCTTACTTTCATTTGCTGTTGTTCTTATACATTTACAGATAATGTTTAATTATTATTTTTATACCCAACAGCCCTGAAATTGACACCAGGTTTTGCATTTTTAAAATTAAATTCTAAGATATTAAATTCTAAGAAAAAATGATGCATGCCCAGCCCTCTGTTGTCTTAACTTTGTATCCTAGGGTGGAACACTATGTAGAATTAAGACAATTGTTGCATCAGTGCAAGAATTTCTGCTTCCACAATGTTCTCCCTGACTCCTCCCCCTGCGTACCCCCTAAATCTGGGGTTTCTCCAACCCTCTGGAGCAGATCTGGGGAGGGTGTGGGGCACATGGAGGAGGAGGTGATGGGAATGTTCTGCTGCAAATCTGGAAATCCTTGTGACGGGACTTGTTAGCAGACTACTGTTCAAAGGCTGAAGGAAGATGATGAAAAGAACATCCTCCTTTGGAAAGCGTCGCAGTAAGACACACACTTTGTGCCGTCGATGTGGGTCCAAGGCCTATCATCTCCAGAAGTCCACCTGTGGAAAATGTGGATATCCTGCTAAGCGCAAGAGAAAGTATAACTGGAGTGCTAAGGCCAAGGGGCGCAATACTACCGGAACTGGCCATATGAGGCATCTGAAAAAGGTCTACCGCAGATTCAGGAATGGATTCTGTGAAGGAACAGCGCCAAAGCCCAAGAGAGCTGCTGTTGCAGCATCCAGCTCATCTTAAGGACTCAAATGTCTTTTTAAAATAAATGGCCTGAACTGCCGGGGCGGGGGGGGGGAGAGGCAGTCCAAATATCATTTATATATTATCTTCAAAATATGTTCCAGTTTTCCAGGAATCACTCGCTTGTCTAAATGTGGGTGTCTGGAATGTAGATCCAAAAGTACATTGTTGGCTGATCTTTGAATGCATGTCAGGTAAGTATACATGGGATTTATTTCTTAATAAATGGGCACGTAACTTTAGCAATAGGTACTCTCTGTCTTATTCTGCACACACATAAGCCTTTCCTATGTTTTTTGCTATATGTATTTCAGCACTTGGTTTTGCTCCACCTCCGGGAAGGTTTTCAAGATGAAGGGTTTGAATTATGCACCAACAATGCTCAAGGGGTCCCTGCTAGTGGATTATTATAATATTTTCTGGGTCAGGTTAATAATTCATGGGCTATTTCTGTGTGAGAATAAGATACATGGCTTGTCATTTCCAGGGCCTCTAATGGGCCTGAGAACAAGAGGTCCGTTTTTTATGAGTTTAAGCATCTGACACAAAAAAAAGTGGTTGGGAGCAAAGTGAATATATGTAAGGAAAGAATCCTTGTCACTGAGGGTAAAACCAAAATAGTAAGGTGCTTTAAGGATGCAATTCACTGCGATTTTAAACTGGGAAAGGATTTAAGCCAAGCTGTTTCCTTTTAATGTCATAGGGCTATGGCTGTAAACCTAAGCCACTTAGTTGGGTGCCTGTTCCACTGAACTCAGTGGCATTTATTTCCAGCTAAATACATATATTGGATAGCAATCTCCTCTCTATGTCTTTGTTGCTTTTGGTACAACTGCCTATGATTTAAGGAGGCACACTTCTGCCAACACGAAACCTTTCTTAAAAATGAACTGGTTCCTAGAGTCAATGTTCGATTGGTTGAGAGGCTGCACAGAAGTCCATTGTGTGTTCTGGAAGTTGAACTGCCCTGGGATCTATGGATGAAGGGCGGTATAACAATTTAATAAATTAGAATAATAAAAATAATTAGTACCTGTAATTGTTTTTTTATAAATGTGCCAGACCCTGGCATCCATTACAAGCAGAAAGAGAACACTCTTCTCACAGTTAAGAGATCTAGAAGACCCTAGTAGTGATGCAACGCCATCACATCAACTCGTTCTGGGGGAGTGAGGGAGGAAACGGCTGGGGAATGGCAACAGCTATGTGGCAAGTGTAGGAAGAGCTCTAGGTGGCAGTAGTAATTTATCCCCATCAAAATTTTGTGGGAGACTATAGTCAAACATAACTATGCATGAGTGTTAGTTAGTGTATGAATGGGTTAAGACTAGAGAGTTCTGTTCCTAGACTCAATTAGGCCACATCCCCTCACATCTGTGAGAGAGGAAGTGAGGCTGCTTCTCTTCCTGTTCTTCCCTCACTCTCTCTGTGCCATGTAATCGACCAGGGAGGACATGTCTAAGCTTTGCTCCAAGTTTAGAGGACGTGTTTGAAGCTATATTTCTGCACTTGCTACTCAAGAGTATTCTCCCCGTGTTCTTCTTGCTGCTGTGTGGATAAATGCATGAACCTGACCTTTGGACAGTTTTGAAAGTAAAGCATTTTAAACTTAACAGTGTGTGATCTTTTCATTGCAAGAGGGATAGAAAAAAAGGACAGCTGTATGCAAATAAAATAAAGAGGGATTAGCAGCCCATACTCCCATGTTATAGTGCTGCTTGACTTTCATGTGTTTTAAATCTGATATTGGTCTCTCCTGGTGGAGAGTGTCCAAAGCACCCACATTTTGATTCCAGGCACCCTACACACATGGGTCACAGGGATTCCTATTTTCCTCCCACAAATTTTGGCCTTCCTGCCCCCCAAATTCCTGCTAGGAGGGAGTTTGGCTCCCCTTGTGTCCTGCTGCCCCTAAAATTTAAGCCAAAGATTTGCCACAGAGAACTTTCATCAAATTCATACTCATCAGAAACTATGTGCATATAGTTTATTTATTTGTGAATGTTTATAAAAGGCCAGTAAGCTCAAACCTGTTTCTCTCTCTAAGCACATTCAGTAACCACGAGGATGATGTTTATTCAGTTCCCATGGCTCACAGTTGCTTTAAATAATTGCTCCTGGTACCCAAAGAGTTCCCTATGTGGAATACCAGCTAGATAGCCTATTTGAACAAAAGGTTATCACTGAAGAAATACCACACGGGCCTCCTTTTCACATGACATTTAAAGCCTTCCAATTAGCAAGTGGTATTAGATAAGCTGTCAAAATCTCTGTTTCAGTAGCACAACCTATGCACATATTACAAGATCTGGACATTTATTTCCCCTCATATGACTTTTTCATGACATTTTGGTTGGCAACCATCTGCCTCTGTAAAATAATAGATTTCCATTGTTGCTTTGGGTGAAAACCAGGTTATCTGAATGAAAGCCTGGAAGTGATGTGGAGTCCCATACTTGCAACTGAGATATCACCTTGACCTCGCAAGAAAAGAAAATACTTCTGTGGCTGGTTTAGCTGTGGAGGATTTCTGGAAGGTAGACTATCTACTCAAGCTACCTGATAGGATCCAGGGTGTTTTTGGGATTCTCTCCCCCCCTTCCCCCCCTTTTGTTTTCCAGATGAACTCTTTTGGCCTTTATTTCCCCTGAGAACAACTCAAAAGACAATGAGGGCTGTAGGTTCATCACTGTGAAGTGCTATCACCATTTATTTAAAACAGGTTTATCTCTCAGTCCAAACCTACCTTACAAGGTTGTTGTGAGGATAAAATAGGATAAACCCCAATTTCATGTCAAAAGCTACATGTATATAGATGTCCATTCACGTGCTTTCTACAGATTTCTGCATTTTTGAAATAATCTGAAACTGAGACACTACATACAGTATTTAGGTTCTTCTCCAGAAGGCTCCATGATGTTGTCACACAATTTGTTGTTCAGCATCTTTCGCAAATAGATGTCACAACCTATAGTGCATAAACGAGCATTCTTATAACAGTGATATACCATTGAATATGCATTTCTACATCTTTCCATAATAGATGATTTATGATGTTAACATTTTTATATGATTTTTATTGTATGGCTTTGCATAAAACTGTTGTAAACCATTCTGCTTTTCCTTTTCTGAATACTATATTACAACTAACTAAACAAATAAAGTTACTTGGGAACAAGGCTCATTGAATTCAGTAAGGCTGAGTAAACACACAGAGCACTGGGCTGCACTATGCTTTGTAATAGGTTGGAGGAAGGATTTTAAAATGGTACTTAACTTCTAGAAAATAGGAAGACATTTAGCAGATCAAACAGTGAGAAAGAGTTCGCTCTTGCTCTTGGAAGCAGAAAGGCTAATAAGAGCTTTTAGTCTGCCTGATTCATGTCTGAATCTTGTTTGGGAGTGTTATGATTCCATTTAGACTGCTATTATCAGGTCATTAGACCTCCATCCAAGCATAGAACTGAAGGTTAAGACGCTATTGGAATTTTGTTTGTGCATCTGTGAATGGAGGAAGGAGCACAGGGCTCATACCAAAAGTTTCAGCAAACCGGGTATCATCACAAGCCAGTAATATAGGAAAAACAATATTGTTCCCTTGAAATGTTCTGCTTCCCATAAAGTTTATATTAGGGTGCAGTTCTATATATTCTCCCTGGAAGGTCATCCCATTGGACATGGTAGGACTTGCTTCCATGTAAACATCTGTAGGGTTGTGCTGTTCTCCTAATAAAAAAAGGTGTAAAAGCCTTGTACATGGCAAAGTATTCCTTTATTCTACACTAAGTGTTGCACCTGACTCTTTCAATGTTTAGTAGCATTTCATTCCATTACTATGGATATTTACACAGAGACGTAGGTCAAGGTGTGTCAGGACTTTCGATTTACTCTCTGATCCTAAACACTTGAATGTGTTTCAGTGAAATTTATAATAAGTGCCTGATCCTTTTTATGGTTGCTGTTCCTGTGATTTTAGCTTTGTTCTTACGTAACGCTGCCTTCCTGCAATTTTCTTACCAGTTGTGTACCACCTTGGGAGGTTTTTCTGCCAAAGGATGACTTACAAATAAAGCAACAACTATAATTGTTGCTGGAAGAAGCGCCTGGGAATAAGCGGACAATGCCCAATCCTACATATGACAGGCCAGAAGGTTTCAGTACCTCAGATGATCCTCAACCATCCACCATTGTTGGGAAGACTGCTGCTGTCTGCCAGCCATCACTGCCAGAAATCAACCTTGCATGGACCCTATTCCACATTTGTAGCCCCGTGTGTGTAGCGCATGGTTCACATTGATTTTAATTATGCCAGAGAAACCCCCCCTGAATTGGGATTTTCCCTCCAGATCAAAATATGTGGGGTCACTCACAGAAATAACTAGCCAGATGGAGTGGCACCCCTGTGATTTGCCTTCTGGGAAGTAGTTATGTAACCCAATTTATGTCTGAACCAGGCCTTCGTTATTTACATTTGGATCCTTCTCTTTCTGCAAGGAACTTCACAGACAGAACTGGAATGACCTTCACACCGCAATCAAGATAGATAGCTGGCTCTTTGCCTTAAGACGTGTCACTCTTGCTATTAAGGTTTCTAAAGTATTCATCTATAAACGCAGGGTGTGAATGTGGCAAGGGGTGTGAAAAAATACAGGAATGATAGTTAAGATTGGCTGTGACTCCCTGTTGAGTATATCCATGGTGATGAATCCTGATTTGTTGCACAGTGTGGAGAAAGTGGATAGAGAGACTTTTTTCGCCTTCTCTAATGAAACTAGAACCAGGAGTTGGTCAATGAAGCTGAATATTGAGAGGTATGGGGCAGAAAAAGGAAGTACTTCTTAATGGATACGTTACCTCACAGATGTTACCTCACAGATGTTACCTCACATGGATATGTTACCTCAGTGTGATGCTGTCCACCAACTGAGAGGGCTTTAAAAGGAGATGAGATAGATTCATGGGGGATAAGGCTATCAATGGCTACTAGTCACAACGGCTAT